TACTGGAAACTAATCGACATTTTTCAGTTCCATTCAGTAGTGTCAAGGAATACCCCGGGAAAGGTGGCATTATGTTTTTATAAAGTCGCGTTCACATTACTCGTGCTCGTGTGACTCGCTATGCTCGCAAGTAATGTGGACGATATGACAAGTCATGAGACAAGCAAATTTTTTTTTTTTAATTTAAAAACTATAACCAATAAGTTAAAATACGACTACAGCCTATACACACTACGAGTAAATATACGGATCCTCACGCGCCGAAGCCTGGCGAGCAACTGAAGTAGTGTGGACGAAGATTTACGGGTACAAGTGAAAGCCAGACGAGTCTCCCGACGAGCACGAGTAATGTGGACGCGCCTTAAGACGAGAGATGGATGCAGGTTTGGCTAGCCTATGTGGACGTTAGTCGAACCTTCTTGCCCCAAAGCAGAGCTCTGCTTCCTGTTTGTTTCATATCGGTTTCTTGCATGACATACCTTTCAACCCTGAAGATGGTGGCAGTATGTTCATCCGTAATGTCCGTTGAGATTTACCAGATCTCATGGCGCTATATCTCGGAAAGTGTATCCAGGAAATAAGAAATCCGACCTGCGTTTCGTGATCACGGACCGCATCTGTAGATTCTATACCGAATGAACTATTAATTCCTAATGCCTAATCAATACAGTCATCTGTCACTCACTTCATCACTCATGGAACTGAACCCTTATTGAGAAGCTGCTAGTTATGCAGTTACTCAAGAACTTCCCAGCATTTTAGTAACCCGAAAGTTCATTACCGTATTCACAAGAACCTCCACTGGTCCCTATCCTGAGTCAGATTGATCCAGTCCATACGATCCCATCCTGTCTCTCTAAGCTCCATTTTAATATTATCCACCCACCTACATCTTGGATAGTTATTCATACTGCTATTATTTTTGGTTAATTTAATGATGTAAGATTTGAGGCTTTCACGGCGGTGACTATGAAGAAAGCAGTCTTCTGGGATTTGGCACCGTGTATATGTGGTGTTAACCGACGTTTCTACCCTGAAGATGGAGGCGATACGTTCCTCCGAAACGTCGGTTAACACCACATATACACGATGCCAAATCCCAGAAGACTGCTTTCTTCATAATTTAATGATATTTTTAGTAACGCAGACTACATGGTGTCGAATCATTGGACGATACCTAAAAATTAATTAGAATAAAAATAAGTATTTTAATATAAGGAAGCAGTCGTTGATTTTAAAGTACTATATCAGAATTTTCCCGCAGGGATTGAGGAAAAGCACGAATAACCTTTTGTCATGATGGTCGATGTTGCGACTGAGATTCGAACCAGGCATTTTCCGCATGCAAGTCACAAGTGTTGACTGTGAGCCAACTTGGACGGTTCTTTTGGCAAACCCTGAATCCTCTGCGCTAACCAAACGCCTCTCCACTTGGTTGCCCCTGACCTATCTGCAGCTATACTGCATGCCCTGCACACTCTTTGTCCGATTTTCGTGAAAGGAAACAGTTGGTCGCCCCCTTTCAGTTTGCAGCGTTCTTTAATCAGCGATATGGCGTTTCTACGAACTGTAACATGAAAATAACACCAGTTCCTCATAGTGGGGGTTCTTATTCTGGTAGATTTTGTCAATTAAACAAATTTTTTTGATATAAAAGATTATCAGCCGGTCACGGTAGTCGAGCGGTCTAAGGCATGTACTGTCTTCGCTCGCTTGGAAACCGGGATCAGGGTTTCGAATCTCACTCAGGGCATGGATGTTTGTGTGCGTTTTTCTGTGTTTATGTACAGGTAGAGGCCTTGCGACGAGCTGATCACCCGCCCAAGGAGTCCTACCGAATGTGTAAGATCTAGAAAAACCGAAGTGAACGGAGAAGTTCATGGAGGTAGGCCTAGGCCCACTGGGGCTGTAGTGCGAAGGGGAAAAAAATTATCAACCCCGTCCATTGTGATTGATAAATGTTTTTTTTTTTTTCATTTTTAATCTTTCATCCTTGACATGTTTCGGTCGGAACAACCATCTTCAGAAGGATATATCAGTACATGCAGAAATTAATATTACAATGTGATTGGTCAATATCAATACATACATACAATATCATTACAGTGTCATGAATATACAATCTCAGCCTTTAAATACTGCAGCAATGTGCCTGAAGATGGTGCTATTGCTAGTGTGACGGACCAGGATGAACCAAATCGAATTTCGTTGAATTTATTCCTTAGGAAAATGGAGAACAGTCACGTGATCTTGTGGACTATTCTGATATGGGGATTGTTAAATCAAATCACTGTAACTTCTTAAGTTAGTCGCGGTTAGTCGCTGGCTTCCCACCGCGGCGGCCCGGGTTCGATCCCGGGTCTGGTCAAGTGGGATTTGTGGTGGACAAAGTGGCGCTGGGGCAGGTTTTCTCCGAGTACTTCGGTTTCCCCTGCCAATCTTCATTCCANCTGCCAATCAATTGCTCCACAATCACCCTCACCTATCATCTGGGGCTGGTACAATAGGCCAGAAGTGGCCGCAGTAAAAGGGGCTTAGTCCCACCCCACTAGCAATAGAAAAGAACTTCTTAAGTGATATTTAAGCCTAAGATTGCATGATGAAGTAAATTGGTAGAACGTATTACAGCGTTACTAACTATATATATCAATATTAGAGTCAACTTTACCGACCACACAACATATTTTTATTATTATTACACTACATTTTTCGACCTCAGGAGGTCATCCTCAGGTGTACGAACACAGCTGTATAATTACACGCAATCACATTTTTAAATTTTAATTTAATTTTTAAAAATTTTAAATTTAAATTTTAACTTCTGACATTTAGAACAATTTTAACTTGTGTTTTATGAGAGAGCTTGATATATTATTGAGCGTGAGCCTGAATAAGATACAGGATCGAATAAGTGAGAAGACGAATGTGATTGCGTGTAATTATACAGCTGTGTTCGTACACCTGAGGATGACCTCTTGAGGTCGAAACATGTAGTGTAATAATAATAAAAATATGNAAGCTGTATTTCTATTTCTTTATGGTCTATGTAAGAACGCTGTCAGTGAGACCCGCTGGCCTGTACAGCAGCTAGTGATACGATGATCAGTAATAATGAATCGAAAGGATACTGGAGGTAGCGTTGGTGGCCTAATTTCAAGCACTGACCTAGAGGCCTCCTGGAAGAGCCCAGTCAGGATAGTCAAGTGTTCTGGCCGAGATTTCAACCGGCGGTGTCATGAATACAAGTCAGAAAGGTTGCAACTTTAACTAAATTGCACTATAAGTAAGTTTTCATAAGTGGGGGATTTCTCTCCGGGGGGTAAAGTGACCTGTGCGTGAGGCTGAACACTTATCTGTATCTGGTGCTTAGATTAAGAATACGTGAAGATATCCTCTCCACTCCCCCATACACCTATGTCTTCATGGGGTGCTACTTAGTTAAGCACATGGATAACTTTATTTTCTTTACCTGGAATGCTGTTTGTGTGAAACTCATAGTAAATATAAAGATAAGTTATGAAGCAAAGAGGATGTGTCACGACAGATAGGCTCGCTGTTCTTACTAACACTCTCTGAAATTGCATGTTGTATCAGACGACCATACTCCGTTTCGTGTTTGTAGTACAGGGGATAGTCCTTATATACAGGGTGTACATAAATATATGTTACAACGCTCTGTGGTAGATAAATGGGTTCAGTGTGATCCCATTTTGTTAACACACCCGTGTCCGGAAACCTTTGTTTACGTGCTAGGGCCTCTGAAATGTGAAGGAGGACGCCCTCACCTCTTACCTCTGTGGTTTACTGGTGACATTCACCTAACATTTCTCCAAGAGACCTTACCCGAGCTGCCGGAAGTGGTGCCTTTGGAAGTCCGTCGTGAAATGTGGTTCCAGCATGATGGCGCCACGGCACACTGCACTAATGTCGTCCGTGAGTATTTGGATGAAACCTTCAGCAACAGATGAACTGGACGTGGAGACCCAATAACCTGGCGTCCTCGCTCCTCTGGCTTGACTACATTGGATTTCTTTTTCTGGGGGTACATGCAAAGCCTGGTGTACGAGACTCCAGTGGAGACACAACATGATCTTGTGGCAAGGATTGCAGTAGCAACTGGAACCATCCGGGAAATACCAGGAATCTTTCAAAGAGTTCATCATAACATAGCCAGGCGGCGGAGAACATGCAATGAAGTTGGCGGCCGCCATTTTGAGCCACTTTTATAATGAAAAACAACGATAACATCCCCTAAAACTTATGCATCCTCTCGGAAACTTTGTGGCCCTTAATGCCAAAAAGAAGAGTTTCCTGACACGGGTGTATCATCTACCACAGAGCGCTGTAACATATATTTATTTACACCCTGTATAACTAGCGCGTATGTAAATTGAGTAGTTATGTACACTACTTTATTATAGCGACAACATTAATCACAGTCATTACAATCCAAATTATGTAAAGGCAGCATGACGAAACATACAGAGTTGTGTTGCTAGCCCTCTGACGGTGGGGCGCGCACTAATTCTCAAGCCTGCCGTCGTTTATAGTCGTGAGTCAATTCCATTCACCTCGTATCCTCACAACCAAATAAACAATCTCCATGGTTTTAGTCCGCAATCGAACTGTACCGACCGAGCGACCGCCGTTTGTTGGCGAAGTTAGTGCCAACTTTAGACGATAGAGGTGTCGCGTGGTCAGAGCAACGAATCCCTACGGCCGTTAATCTCGGTTTTCTAGACCGGAGCCGCTATTTCCTAGAAAGAGCTCCTCAATTATCATCAGGAGGGTGAGTGGACCCCGTTCCAGACTCACTACATCCTCATAACCAACTTTCCAAATTCCATCTTGATATTTTCCTCCCTTTTGCTTGTTGATGTACCAAATGAAACTTTTCAGGAGTGTTTAGAACCATATTTCTGTATGGATATCCTATATAAATCGCGAAGATATTATTAAAATGAGACTGGGTGAACTTTTTCTCTGTCTCCACGTTCCAGGTGCGGTACACAGGTTACAGAGACAGGCCACAGGAGGAGCGCCAGGTTCGGTTCCAGAACGGCTGTCGCGAGGGACACACGGAAATCGTAAGTTCTCACTCACTTAAGTTAACCCATAATTGTACTGCTACCCTTAAGCATTGCCAAATGACCAGTTACTTCCTATAGTTATTTACTTTGGAGGGAAAGCGCTTATCCGCCTCTCAGCACGGTTATTTTCCCTATCACAGTATGCAGTAAAAAGATAAAGTAAATGTATAGTTTTCCTGTTCTTAATTAAACATCACAGCATGAAGACGTATGGGCGAAAGGAAGTATAGATCCACGTATTCTTAACCTTATACCGGAAGTAAGTGTGCAGTCGGCCCTTGTACTGCTGAGAAATAGCCTCCGATACCAATTAAATTAGAGGTTGGATGGGCCCCCTTGTCGGGGCAGGACACCGTAGAGAAGAGAACATCTGGCCGCTCTTGGTAATCGCAACATTTTTCTCGGATATCCGGGCCGTTGCCTAGTTACTGCACCGACCGAAATACTCGGTTCAGTAGTATGTAGCCCATATGCTAAGTAACTAAACCATTAAATAAGGAATAACAGCGAACTTACAGTTTCCTTACGTCACCGCATTCCAATCGTGCACAAAAGTGAAGCCGAACTTATCAGCAAGAGCCATGCATCTACTGCACTGGTTCTCAATATCTAGCGGACCGCGGACCGGTATAATTGATGTTAAGGCCCGCGACCAGGCCCCGGCCAGGCGCTAGAGAAACACTGATCTACAGGGTGCGCGGTAGGAAGCAGGACACATGTTATTGGGAAACAGAAAAGTTACATTTTTAGTGCTTGATTACGACGCGTTTCTGATATTTTTTCCTTCGGTTCTGGGTCAATTTGTTTACCACCCTTCAGGAATATTTTGTACTGTTCTTTATGGCCTTCACATTCTCACCAAATAGATTACAGTTTTCAGTATGAACGTGTACCCTACCCCATTTAGACCTTTCAGTTCCAGGCCCATCTATATATTCTCTTGTACTGCGTAGTGGCGCATTCGTGCTACATGCCCTGCCCACTTCATCTTCCTTGACTTGATAATTCTAATTGTACTTGGCGAAGTGTACAAGTTATGAAACTTTTCATTATGCAGTTTTCTCCAACCTTCTGTCACTTCATCTCTCTTCGGTCCAAATATTCTCCTTAACACCCTGTCCTCAAACACCCTCAGTGTATGTTGCTCCCTTAATATCAGAGACCAAGTTTCATACCCATACAGAACCACAGGCAAAATTGTAGTTTTGTATATTCTAATTTTTATGTTTTTGGACGGCAGACGAGAAGACAGAAGATTATGGACTGAATGGTTTTGTTTTGTTACTGTCATTTCCAAATATCTGAACTGTGTCACATTTTCAAAACACCTGTTAGCTATCTTTATGTCAAGATGTTTTTCTGCATTTTGGTGACGAGACAGCAACATTTACTTAGTTTTCTCTGCGTTTTCCTTTATGGTATCTATGTTATCATAGTGAAGTGAAGTGAATGACATTACGCATCCATGACTGTCGGTTTCCTTTTGTTTGTGTTTTGGGTGTTGTATTTTTTTTCTTCTATCTCTGTAATTGTTGTTGTATTTGTTGCAGTTATTTGTATTTCAGTGTAATTGTNTTCTCTGCGTTTTCCTTTATGGTATCTATATTATCATCCACTAGATTGTATTGCTTGCTTAATGCAGTTGTTGGTCTGCAGGCATTTGTGGCTACCGGAACCAACATCCAGCTAGTGTTCAACCCCAGCACGAACGGGTACAGCACGGCTGATCACGGGCGTGAGTGTGACTTCGACAAGGAGCACGGCAAGGTAAGTCGCGTAGAGATAAGTGAAAGAAGCGGCTACAGAAGGAATAGAGCCACTACGACCTCCACACACTTTCTCTATCTCTAGATTTCTGGCTGGTAATATCATCACGACAAAGCCACCTTCCTCAGAGTTTTTCTAGTGTATATATCCGCGCATTCCATCACGCCGCCATATCAACGTGGCATAGGAGTTTGTTTCCAGGCACTTGAATTCCTAGGTAATGTTAGCAGCGCTGTGGCTGAGTTCAGAGTGACTGTAGCAACAGTGGTGAAGAAAGTTGCGAGATGTTGAACTATTCAAATTTCGTGTTTTACGTACCGGTGAAGATTTCCGTGGCCCGGGTTCGGAAAAGCATTTCGGGCATCTATAACATTTTTCCATGGCCCCATTCATAAATTTACAAAAAAAAAAAGTCCGTGGCCTGTAGACCGCAAGCGAACTATACCGACCGAGCGGCCGCTGCTTATCGGCGAAGTTAGTGCCAACTTTAGCGGATAGAGGGTGTCGCGTGGTTAGCGCAACGAATCCCCATGGCCGTTAATTTCGGTTTTCTAGACCAGATTCATAAATTTATATACCAGAATTGCCAAGTTGTTACAGGGAACACCAGACTACACAGTAAGATACGTTCGTCTTTCAAATATTGTAGGCGATATCTTCTTAAAATGGACAAGAACCATGTCCCTTTCTCTTTACCACTCATCCGGGATCCCAGTGATAACCACTGATTTATATTGGATCGAAAGAAACTCAAAATGATGTCGATATCTGTTTTCATCAACCAGTTTCTCTGAGAAGTTCAAAGGAACAAGCTCCTTATTATATTGACTCCTGTAAAGAGAGGAAATATAAGCTGAGTCTGGCAAATTCGGTGCCATACATCCATAACATCATTCGTTGTTTGCCAATTTAAAATTTGTTCCTCATAATTTCAAAAGGAACCTTCGTAGCACTTGTAATCGGGATATATTACCCAAAGTATGTGACAAGTTACTGTTAGACAGGTTTCCTGTTATTGCCTCTTCTGTTGGTTAACGTTCGGTGCCTCTTCACTTCACTTGTCAAATTTCGCTTCGTCAAAGCCATTCAAGTGTGTGTGGCCACAGCACGAATCTAGGTTTCTCTGACAGACCTGTACCTGTGGTCAGCTCTGTCACAGAAAATAAACAAAAAACCTACATCTACGAAAGTTTTGTGCTGATACAGTTAAAACAAACATTACAATTCTAGCGACCGCCTCTGTAGTCTAATGGTCAGCGTTCCTGGCTACAGATCTAGAGGTCCGGGTTCGATTCTCGGAGCTAACAGATTGTTTCTGAGAAGTAGTGGGTCTGGAACGGGGTGCACTCAGCCTCACGATGATAATTGAGGAGCTATTTCAAGGAAATAGCGGCTCCGGTCTAGAAAACCGAAATTAACGGCCGTGGGGATTCGTTGCGACACTCTCTGTCCGCAAAAGTTGGCACTAAACTTCGCCGACAAGCGGCGGCCGCTCGGTCAGTCGGTATACTTCGCTTGCGGACTAAAATCACGGAGTTTTTCTTTTTTACAATTCTAGCCTCAAGGGTGAGATTTGAAATAACTGACGTTTTGAGTAAGCTTCTGCAAGGAGGTGTAGCCCATGTTCTGGGCGTATCAAGAGGAACTAGTGATGTGTAGTCACTGAAGTACGTATGTAGTAGGTTTGTAAGCCTATCCTTGCAATAACCCCAAAATTTTGCATCCAGTAAATGGGGTGTTTTTTCAATGCCTGCATACCGAGTAGTTTGGATAGGGCTGTATCTCTTCTGACTTACATTGAAGAAATGCCACACCAAGCAACCAGATATTTTCCGTGATTTTCCGCAGTCCGTCTATGCGAATTCAGGAATAGTCCCTTGAAAGAAGCCACGACCGCTTCATTCCGCGTCCTGTCAAATTTATCTTTCGTTAGTGAACTCATGATTCGACGCCATGTAGTCTGAGCTGCTGACATCGTCGTTAAATAAACCACAGGCCCGCGCCATAGCTCAAGCGGTTAGTCGCTGGCTTCCCATCGCGACGGCCCCGGTTCGACCCCGGGTCTGGTCAAGTGGGATTTGTGGTGGACAAAGTGGAGCTGGGGCAGGTTTTCTCCAAGTATTTCGGTTTCCCCTGCCAATCTTCATTCCACCAATTGCTCCACAATCACCCTCACCTATCATCTGGGGCTGGTACAATAGGCCAGAAGTGGCCGCAGTACAAGGGACTTAGTCCCACCCCACTATCAATAAAAAAAATTAAATGAACCACAAATAAATAAACATAATGCGCAGGCGCTGAGGAAACAACGCGATCGCCGAGAAATAACGAAAATGTATTTCTAACTTCCCTTGCAGTAACCGTGGTACGATTTTAAGTACCGGTACGGTATATGCTGAATGCCTCTGTGGTCTGGTGGTCAGAGTTCCTGGCTACAGACCCAGAGGTCCCGGGTTCGATTCCCGGCGCTACCAGATTTTTTTAGAAGTACTGGGTTTGGAACCGGATCCACTCAGCCTCATGGGGATAATTATATAGCTGTTTCAAGGAAATAGCTGCTCCGGTCTAGAAAACCGAGATTAACGTCCGTGGGGATCCCTTGCGCTACCACATGACACCCTCTCTCTTCGCTGGCACTAACTTCGCCGACAAGCGGCGGTAGCTCGGTCGGAATAGTTCTCTTTGCAAACTGCAGGCCACGGAGGATTTATTAACGGTATATGCTAACCAACCCCATGTAACAGGGATATTGCGCTGATAGTTGCTCAGCTAATCAAGGAATCTGCGAATTGTGTAACCAGATGGTTAATTACCAAGTTTATAACAAGCTGCCACTGGGCCCTGTTTTAAGCCAGTAGATTACATTCCATACTCTACCACCGTATATTTTAATAGCATTTCCATCCTCAACTCTATTCCTAAGACTCTCTTATAACGTCTCTTTTCACATTTCCCCATTAAAAATGACTACCCATTTCTTGTCTCTCAATATCTACCCGTTAGGTACGTGTAGTTTCAACTAGAAACTTGTAAGATTTGAGGCTTTCACGGCGGTGACTATGAAGAAAGCAGTCTTCTGGGATTTGGCACCGTGTATATGTGGTGTTAACCGACATTTCGGAGGAACGTATTGCCTCCATCTTCAGGGTAGAAGAAAAAATATAAGAAATCTGCAAGCGAGGAGACCG